TGGAAGAGCTTGCCACCAGAAGTTGTGGGTGCTCCATTACTGGAGGTTTTCAAGAAGAGAAATTATTTATCTGAAATGGTATAGAGTCTCTCTTGCTCCAGCAGGAGGTTGGACTAGAACAGGGGTCTCCAACCGTGGCAACTTTTAAGACTTGTGGACTTCAACTCTGAGAATTCCTCAGCCAGCATAGCTAGCTGAGGAATTCTGGGAGTTGAAGTCCACAAGTCTTAAAGTTGCCAAGTTTGGAGACCTCTGTACTAATCTTTTTACAAGCTTATCATCAAACCCTTTTCTTTAAAAGGCTGAACATCCCTATAAAGCTATTACCTACCCATTAGATCCCTATCATTTACTAGTAATAATGATTTATACTATATTATCCTCCTTCCTTTACAGGCCCCTACTACCTTTTCAAGAACTGAATAAGCCTTCTACTCCTTAAAAGCAAGAGCTCAAGTCCAGCTTAGCCCACAAACATAAAGTGATAACTACACACACATTTCCATATCGTTTTCTCTAGCAACATTATAACCCAAATAGCTTGCTCGGTGTTTTTTTTTTTTTTTTTAAAAAAGAAAAATCCTTAAGACTAATCTAACAGTCTAGGAATTGCATGGTGGTCCCCCATCTACACATATTAATCAGGCCCAAAACTGCTTTGCTTTTTTAAAAAAATCAGCCAAGGCTTGGTAGGTGCTGCCATCTGCTGTGACATATACTTACCTTCCCTCCAAAAAGTCCCCAACCTACCGACCTGTAAGGCCTAGTCAGCCCGCTATTCGAATTCCCTGCCACCTCAGGCCCTTCCTCCCTCGAAAGCCTCCTCCCTCAAGGCCTGCTTCGAGGTCTTCCCAACACACGACGGGCAAACCTCGCTTGCCTCTTACCTCAGAACCCGTAAAGGTCACCCCACATATATATGCATACATACTGCACACAGAGAGCCCGCGGCACCGCCTAGCCCCCCCTCCCCACCGCGTCCCCCGACCCTCTGGCTTTTGCCTGTGCCAATCGTTTGAGCTCCCTCACCCGACGAAGCAGTAGCCGCGGCGCAGGCGTAGGGAAAGGGGATGGGAAGAGGTAGCCAGGAACCTCCGCCCGTCCCCTCCAATTCGCTCTCGCCCGTTGGCTTATGGGAAGTGGAGTTCGTAAACGGCTGGTAGGTCCTCTCTACCCACAGAGGGCGAGAGTTAAAACTACTCGTCCCAAGATGCCTCTCAAGCAGCAGGAAGGTCAGCCGCCATTTCCTAAACCGCTCTGGGGAAGGGAGACTCGGGACCGAATTTTCTCGGTTTCTCCTCTCACTTCCCTTCCAGTCTTTCTCTTTGTCCTTTAGTCGTTATCATCACGCAAACTGAGACGGAATACACTTCAGGAAATACAGCTTCAATCCTGTGGGAATGTAAATATCCGTTCCTCCCGTTAGCCACTCCGCTATTCTAAATTAGAGCTGAAGGGGAGAGTAAATCTCGCGAGAATTTTAGGACGGAGGACATGTGCATCATGTCTACGTTCCTGAAACGCTATTCCTGTGAGCATGGGTTTTCAAAGAATGTTGGGAATTGTAGTTAAGATGTGACTTTCCTGTTAAAGCTGTCGCCCCAGTATCTTATATAGGCGAACCACACGTTCCAGTTGGAATTGCGAGTTCCCTCAGTAAATAAAAAGGAAGTCAATTGTTTTCCTAGAGAGATTTCCCCGTAAAGTCAAGTGGAAAACTTTAAAACTCTTCTGTCGTGCACGGGTCTTCCGTTTTGTTGGAATTAAAAGCACCCATCAAGTCTCCCTGATCTGATCACCTTTTAATCTTTTGTCAAAACACGTGTGTCCCACTCACGTGTATTGAAAAGTTTTGGAAAAAAAATGAGGGATTGTAGGAAGTTACCACCCACCCCTCTCCTAGAAAAATGAAATATCCTAGGAAATATTGTCAGATTTAGGTGACCCCAAATTCTTAACAAATTTTCAGGACAACGAGATACAGTCAACAAACAAGAATTTTATTATACTTTTGCAAAAGCAGGCAATTCCAAATCCCTCTCAGATGAGTTGGAGTCAGAAGAGCAAAGAACTTCCTTTGAACAATACAATTTATAGTTTATTTCCTTTTGAAGCATATTTGTGGTTTAGGTATTCTATCGAGAAGGGAAACCTTAACCTAACTGAACAGTAAGCAGCTGGGCAGGAAATATTTGTGGTTACATGTTGGTTTTCAACTAAAACAAACATTTAAACAACCATTAGCAAAGAAGGAATCCTCCAGGTCACCCAGTCCAACCCCTCCTTTTAGTATGTTGGAAGTTACGATTCCCCTCAGTTGCGGGAATGAGACTCAGGACACCAGCATGATTTCCAATTGTTTTTACTTCTGTCTAGGACTGAGCACCCGAAGAAACCGCGGCAGCCTTTTTATACTCAGGCTGCTTGCAGCTGTGGCCAGTGACGGCTCTTCAAATTTCCCACCGCCATGGACTGACCAATTATAGGTAAGTATGCTAATACATAACACCCCTCCCCACCTGGTCTGGTTCAACCAATTGGAGCCTCGCCTACTGTACGTAATCACGTAGGTAGGCGGGGCTTTTATGGGTTCTACTGGACCTGCGCAACTCAGTCTCCGTTTGTCTCCTGAACTGTTCGAATGGATCTATTGTTCCTCCCGTCCATCTTCTTGGAATGTCCTGGAAGGTTGAGTCGGCTCGGCTACTCCCTCCAGGGACTGCTTCCCCACTATCCTTCTGGACCTTTTCCTGTCTTCCCGACCTGTCTTCTTCCCTGGTCTCAGGTACGTGTTTGCGTTTCCCAACCGGGGCTAGTGTTAGTAGTGGTTGTTGCGTAATTGTCAGGGTTTGTTCTGTTATTTCTGTTGCTCGTGGAGGGTCTCCCCCTCCCTTCGTACTTGTGCTTTGTTTGTTTGAGGGGTCTCCCCCCTCTTCCATGGTTCTGCTTGGGTCACCCTTCGTGGCTCTAGATCTGAGCTGGTCAATGTGCCTCCTCCAGCTTCTCCCGTCCACGGTGTCTACCCTGTACGAACGGGGCCCAATTATCTGGGTTACTTTTGCCGGTATCCACAGTGGTTCTCCTGTGAGATTTTTTGCATAAACTGGGTCCCCTGTTTGAAATATGCGGCAATTACTGGAGGAGTCCGCTGGTTTTTCTGGGCTATTTCTGGGGTGTAGTCTGTCTAGGTGTGATCTTAGTTTCCTCCCCATTAGTAACTCTGCTAGGCTTTTATATGTTGTGGCACTGGGTGTCATGTGTTCAATGGTTAGTAGCTTATCTATCTTTTCTTGTGTGTCCCCAAGCCCCAGTTTTTGTAATGTTTCCTTCGTGTAACGTACCATGTGTTCCGCCCGTCAGTTTGTAGCTGGGTGTCCCGGCGCTGTCAGTGCATGCCTTATCCCCTGTTGTGCTAGAAATCCCTCAAATGTTGTTGCTGTGAATTGTGGCCCGTTGTCGGATACAATTAAATCCGGCAATCCATGTGTGGCAAAAAGTTTCCTGAGCTGTCTAATGACGGCTTCTGTTGTGGTGGAGTGCATGATGCTTACCTCTAGCCATTTGGAGTAAGCATCTACAGCTATTAGAAATGTGTGTCCTTTGGTTGGGCCTGCAAAATCAATGTGTAATCTTGACCATGGTCCCCTTGGTGTTTCCCATTCGTGTTTTGGTGCTCTGGGGGGTGTTGGCCTCGATTCCTGGCAGCTTTTATATGTTGCCACCCAATCCCCTATTTCCTTATTCATCCCTGGCCACCATACATAACTCCTTGCCAGGGCTTTCATTTTTACAATACCCGGGTGTCCCTCATGTAAGATAAGAAGATAAGAGATAAGAAGAACTTATTGTCATTGTACAAGTACAACAAAACTGTGGATGCACCCCAGCAACTGTTCGCAATACAATAAAACCAGAGCACTTAAAGATGAAGATAAGAAAAATAGAGTACCCGCGTCTCCATTTGCAATTAGAGAGTACAATATCTACGAATATACACAAAATATACATCCAACACTGTGTCATGCCCCTGGTGGAGTCTGACTCTGAGGAAGAGGAGGAACAGCCAACAGGGAGTGGGAGTGTGGCTCCAGAGGTGGTGGAGGAGGCTGGGGAAGGGCAGAGGCCAGCTGAGCAGTCAGAGGAGGATCCAGGCCCATCCCCTATCCATCCTAGGTCACGCAGGGAGGAGAGGATCAGGGAAAA